ACACCGCGCACAGTCAACTTGTGGAACTCCTTACCTGAGGAGGTTGTGAAGGCTAGGACTAGAACAGAGTTTAAAAGAGAACTGGATAAATTCATGGTGGTTAAGTCCATTAATGGCTATTAGCCAGGACGGGTAAGGAATGGTGTCCCTAGGCTCTGTCTGTCAGAGGGTTGAGATGGATGGCAGGAGAAAGATCACTTGATCATTGCCTGTTAGATTCACTCCCTCTGGGGCTCCTGGCATTGGCCACTGTCGGTAGACAGGATACTGGGCTAGATGGACCTTTGGTCTGACCCGGTACGGCCTCTCTTATGTTCTAACAAACACACACACCCCTGTGCCCTTCCCCAGGTTCCGGCCGCTTCCCGGAGCAGCGCGGGGGCAGGGCAGGCAGGCATGGAGCCTACCCTGCCCCTGGTGCGCATCGGGCTGGAGCCGCTCTAGGTAAATGCTGGGGGACGGCGGGAGGGGGGGAAGGGGGGTGAGGAGCTCGCGGGCCACAGAAAATAATACTGTGGGTTGCGTGTTTGAGACCCCTGTCCTACAGCATATGTGCCCAAAATCTCCCACTTATTTGCTGTTGATAGGCAGCTTCTATACATGAGTGTAAGAGGCCCCCATGCCACCACTGGGGCAGTCTCAGGCCACTGTACCCCCCTTGCCCAACAGCAGCAGGAGTTTGGGTGTGGGAGGGGGCTCAGGGCTGGGGCGCGGGAGAGGGATGTGGGCGGCACTTACCTCATGGAGGCTCCGCGGAAGCGGCGACATCCCTCTGCTCCTAGGCAGAGGGGCTGGGTGGCTCTACGCGCTGCCTCCACCTGCAGGCACCACCCCCGCAGCACCCATTGACTGCAGTTCCCGGCCAATGGGAGCTGCAGAGCCAACGCTCAGGGAGGAGGCAGCGTGCAGAGCTGCCTGGCTGCGTCTCCCCCTCTGCCTAGGAGCTGAGGGATGTTGCCGCGTCCAGGGAGGCACCAAGCCAGGTAGGGAGCCTGCCAACCCTGCCGCCACCACCACCTGCGGCGGCAGTGCCACCACTGCCCCCCCCAGCTCGGGGAAGGAGAAATGTGGACAGGGGTAAAGGGGCCGAGGCTGGGGTCACTGCTGAGGGTGGGCACGGAGCCCTGGGCATGGGGCCAGCAGCCAGAGGCAGGAGCAGAGATGGGTGCCGCTCCCTTCGCTGCCCCGGGCCCCAGCCATGCACCACTAAATGTTCCTCAGCTTCCCTCTAGGGAACCACGCCCCACAGATTGGGGACCTCTGCCCTAAAATTTGTATAGGCCTTTCACACAACAGGGAGAGAAATATATGTCTAAACCAAGAAAAATACAATAAGTTTACAAATATTAGCAGCGTGAGGGTGGTGTAAGACTTAAATAACTAGAATTCAAGTTGAGAGTGTCCCTTGAATTCAAGGTTAAAGTTTTGCTGGAGATTTTTGTGGCTTCTTCTGGACCAGCCCCATGGGTGAAAGTAAGGGCTGGTCCACACTAACCCCCCACTTCGAACTAAGATATGCAACTTCAGCTACGTGAATAACGTAGCTGAAGTCAAAGTATCTTAGTTCGAACTTACCGCGGGTCCACACGCGGCAGGCAGGCTCCCCCGTTGACTCCGCATACTCCTCTCACGGAGCAGGAGTACCGGCGTCGACGGCGAGCACTTCTGGGATTGATCTATCGCGTCTAGACAAGACACGATAAATCAATCCCAGAAGATTGATTGCTTACCGCCGGACCCGGAGGTAAGTATAGACGTACCCTAAGTTACAGGACTTACCGGTACTGCCAGAGTCCTGAGGGGGTGGGGCCTTTAAATCAACCCGGGGCTCCCAGCTTCAGAGGTGGCTGGGAGCCCCCGGGGCTCAGGGGCAAATTAAAGGGCCCAGGGCTCCGGCTGCTGCGGAGCTCCAGGCCCTTTAAATCCCAGCCCTAGCCCAGCCGCCGGAGCTGTGGGGAGGGATTTAAAGAGCTCTGAGCTTCCGGCGGGGAGCCCTTTAAATCCCCACTGCGGAAGCCGGCGCGGTCCGGCACGGCATACTGGCTCTCCTTGTGCTCCCCGAGCTGCACCAGGGAAGCACGGCGTACCAGCTTACTTTCACCTCTGACCAGCCCCCTTTCCTCATATCGTTCCGTTCTCATGACTCCTGCCCCATTAGCGCCATGCATCCTTTACTTAGCTTATGAACACAGCTCTTAATACCTAAATAATCCCCCAACGAACCTCCTTAAAAGACTGGAACAAATCTGTAGTTTCTAGGTCAAGACACTTTGAAGATAAGATGAGCCAAAAAAAACAAACAAACAAAAAAACAAAAATAGAATCTGACAATGGAATGAAACCCACTTGAGCTTCTCAGACCTCCATTCCCTATCTACCCTTCCATCACAGATTTGTCCCAGCCTCTCTAGAAAGATTCTATCCCAGGTTAAGACCAACTGAGTGAAATTTTAGGTAGACCGGTTCCAGTTTTGGCAAAGCTAGGAGAAGGAGACACAAAATCAGATTTATAGCTTCCGCTTAAATATGCAGAGACTAGTGCCTCTCTCTGCAGAATCTGACTATAATTAGCTGTAAATTCAAAGGCCACCAACTCACAACCAAACTTGTCATACCCCAAGAGTTTTATGCAAAATCCAAACCAGTGTCTGCTTACCTTGTCATTACTGACTCTGTAAACAGCAGAGCTATCAGTTATGGAGGTCTGGGTGTTTCGGTAAGTGCCTGTTAACAGCTATTAAAAATAAAACAAGACAAAGGAAAATCAATCCTATTTCCAGGTTTCCGAGGAAATTTTTTTTCTACTCAATGAAATTTCAGCAAAACGATGGAATTGTCTGTTTTAGGAAATGTTAAACTGATTGTTTCCTATCATTCCAGGAACCTCCCAATCAATTAACACTGGCTGGCTCCATCTCCATGGAACACTTCCATCCCCCCCAAATGAAGGGCTCCAACACTGAGCCTAATTCAAAGCTGCCATTAATGCTTAATCACAGTCCAGAATGACATGCAATTACAATGCTGTAGGCAGTTTCCTCTCAAGAAAACACTAAACATTCTTTGCTATGTATCCCAGCAGCCTTACTGGAAACAGAATAGGGAAACTGAAGACTACCCAAACAAACAAAAAGCATTGTGTCAAGCTATAATTAATTTTTACTTATGTATGAACAAGTTGTTTAATCAGCCTGATTTCTAAAATCAGGGATGAAACAACATTTAGAACAAGGTAATGGAAATACAGGAACATATAAAGAGATGAACTCAGCTTTGAGACTTTTTAAAAAAGAATAAAATAATATAGGTCTGATATTTGGCCCACTTTATAATCAAGCTGATTGGGAAAGAATGATAGATTTAAATACATGTTTTAAAAAGGCATTTACAAAGTCATCATTTCTAGTTCTTTTCAAAACTGAATAAATGTGCCAAATAGAAAAACTAGGTTTTCTAATCTTCATGTTTCAAGGAGCATTTTGCAAACAAGAGGGAATAAAACAAAGTGCAGCAGATTCTGCTTATTAGCAACCCCTCAGCAGCCTGCAAAAATTTGCCATTATCCAGCAGTTGCCAATAAGTGGAAGGCACGTTTGCAGGGCTGCAGCCATGGTAGAAAACGCTGGCCTGGGGCTTGTAGGGCTGCAGCCAAGGAAATGTGCCTGCGGGCAGCGGGGCTGCAGCCCGGATGCTGGGGCTTCTACAGTGAGTAGGGGCAGTGGGAGTCCACAGAGCTGCACAGCACCTCAACTCTCCAGGGACTGGGGCTCAGCACATCCCAGCGCTTTCTTCCCTGGTGCAGCCCGGGGAGCACAAGGAGAGGTACCATGAAGCTCTGGCACCTGGGCTGCAGCCAGAGGTGAAAGTAAACCAGTAAGAAAATGGCTACCGATACACAGCCGACTGTACCAGCAGGGCCGCCAATTGGAGGGGTGGGGCAAAAGGGGCAGCTGTCCTGGGGCCTGCGCCAGCGGCCGTCAGAGCCCTGGCCGGCATATGCTGGGCAGTACCGAAGGGCTGGCTGGGGGAGTCTAGCCCCAGCCCCACCCCTTCCACCCGAGCCGCCCCTTCCACCTCGCCCAGGACCCTGGCTGCCCTGTGTACCGGTAAGTCCATTAAGTTACTTTCCCCCCTGGCTGCAGCTCCTTTCCCCAGCCTCCCCACAGAGCCCTCAGCCCCTGACCTCCTGTGCAATTCCTGTGCACAGGCAGGCTTGCTGGGCTGCAGTCCCAGAAGGAAGCACTAGGGGCTGCAGGCAGGTTTGCTAGGCTGCAGTTAGAGAAGGCCCGGTCCAGCACTTCCTTCCTTGGCTGCAGCTTGCAAACCTACCTGCAGCTGGAGCCTTTCCTCCTAAAAAATTGTCCTTAATAAACGGCATGCCACTGCCAACATCTGAATCCCATTAACCTTAAAGTCAATAGGACAGGGCTGATTCCCAACAAAATGATGCTATTAACCAGAAGCTGTTAACATTCAGGTTTCTACTAAGCAGAATCTACTATACTTGCAAGTTTTAATTTAAAGAGAGTTCTCCCCTTCCACAAATGCACCCAAAGAGCCCATTAAAGGTTTGAAAAGAAGAGCATGAGCCACTCAGCTTTCATTCACCTTGCCAATCTCAGTGGCAGGAGTACTATAAAACACCCCAAACTTTACTTACTCGGACAAACAGCAGTGTTTTTCCTGAGTCACAAAGGCCTACCAGAAGCACCGTTCTCCGGCTGCTCTTCCTGCCCCGGATAAGTTTCCAAATCACTGTGGACAGAGGAAAAATTACAGGATACCAGCATATGGCCAAGTGTGCATCTGTACAAACAAATTTTGGATTTGTAATTTGCCATCAGTGGAAGTACTAGTCTAGATACAGCTCAGATGTCTTACCCCTTTTCATCTAACCTTGCTCTGAGCATTATGGAGGTGCCATAGCATCTTCACAGGTAAGCTGGCTTTGAGTTTCATACTGACTAGGTTTAATACTACCTGTTATAGATGAACAATTAGCTGTTAAAATTAAATAATACTCCCTTTAATTTTGCAAGTCCCACCATTTTTTCTCTAAATCTCTCTAGCTAACAAATGGTTCATACTAACTTTTCTAAATTTTCCATATAGCCAAACTTCACTGAAAACTCATGGACCACATCTGAAGATATTCAGCTGCAACAGAGCAAAGGCTCTGGGATCCTAGTTTTCCATGATACAAAAAAACAAAATTCTCTGATAATAAAAACAACAAAAATCTGCATTTTTCCACAATTAAGATGAAACACTGAACTTCAGTTTCCTGAGCCCCGATATATATAGGTTTCAGTTTGAACATGTTTTATTGATATACAATAGAACCTCAGGTTTCAGAGTAGCAGCCGTGTTAGTCTGTAGCCGCAAAAAGAGCAGGAGTACTTGTGGCACCTTAGAGACTAACAAATTTATTAGAGCATAAGCTTTCGTAGACTACAGCCCACTTCTTCGGATGCATATAGAGTGAAACATAGAACCTCATTTATCTGAGCCTTCATTATCTGGCTCTCCATATTAAGCGAACCACCAGCCACCAGGGGCTGACTGCCTGAGCTCTCACCTCATCTTAAAATAAGGGATAGAAAGTTCTTTGCCAGTTCTCCGGATTATCCCAATTTCTGATTATCTGATCTGGCCCCAGTCCTAATTAGATCGGATAAATGGGGTTCCACTGTAAATTAAAAGCGCATTCAAAAATCAACCACAAGAGGGGATGATTGTGCACACTGAATTTGTGACACTAGTACTTTCGGTACGTTAGGGGGTTGGGGTACCGGGCCAGGGGGGTAGACCAGGCAGCCTGCCGGGGTGGCCGGGGGAAAGCGGGCCGGGCCGCGCAGGGTGTCGGGGGCACCGGGCCGACGGGAGGCAAGCCGAGGTACCGGGCCGGGGGTAGGCGGGTCGGGGTACCGGGCCGCGCAGCGAGTCGGGGTGTCATGCCGCAGTCACTCACGCAGGGTCAGGGCCACGGCCAGCAGCGCCAGCAGCACCGAGAGCAGGGTCGAGTCCGGCACTTGCAGCTCCTGCCGCAGCGAGTCCAGGTAGGGCTGCAGCCCGCTTCGCTGGTCGCCCTCGGACGCCATCCCCTGCCCCGCGCTGACAGCCACGTGTCCCCAGTCGTGGCCTGCGCCGTCAGAGCGCCGCACCGTGCAGATGCATCATGGGAAACGTAGTTCCCCGCCCACACTCTCGCCGCAAGGGCTCTCGGGAGTTGTGGTCCTCCAGGGCCTTCTCTGGAAAGCCTCATGGGAGTTGCAGTCTGCAGGCAATTGCTGCCAAACAGTCTGTAAAACTTTTAACAGCGACTCTTCTTTTTGCACCAGGGTCACTGGCAGTCATGCCTACTTCCTGCTCCCACGTAGGACAGCCAGCATCGCCACCACACCCGGATTTATCAATTTATAACGCCAAATAGTTCCAGAGCATAGTGGGCCATTTCCCACAGGCTTGACAAGATAGCAGTTCATGGGTCACCAGAGTGACTTGCATGAGCTT